TTTCATTACTGTAACTTGATTTTAAAATGTTAAAATTAATTTCGCTTGCTAAGAGTCAAGAAAACCCTAAAACTGACTGCCCAGAAAATAGGGATTGTTAGTTTTAGGTTACCACAACCTCTGAATACCAGAATGATCAAACTAATCTATTGATTAATTTTTACTTAGTATAGTTTTTCCATATATCAAAAATGCATAAATCAAAAAGTGATAATGATAATTGAAAATTTTTATTATTGTAATATAATTGTTATACAACATAACTTCTATATATATACAATTTAATAATTTCTAATAACATAATAATAACATTATATAATAACATTAAGCATTATAGTCATAAAATTAACTTTGTTGTGTTCCATTTTTATATCTATGCCATGCCTGTTTTAACTTAGCATGAATTGCCACATTGGCAAATTTTGCCAATGTGGCAATGAATTGCCACATTGGCAATTTTTGCATGAATTGCAATTCCAATGTTCTGCAAATCTGTACAAACAAAACATTCTGAATACTTAAACAAGCCTGTATAACATCCTGTTAACATCCTGTATGCTTTACAAAAAGAAAAACATAGTAATATAATGTGGATTTTCCAATATGTTGTTAGTGTTTTTCTAATATAATATATAATATCTCTAAGTATAGATATTTTTTGTTCTGAGTCAAGTTCAGGCTTTGGGTTAGGGTCAGAGTCAGTTCAAGGTTAGGGTTTGGGTTAGAGTCAAGTTCTCTTCCAAAACAAGCTTCTTTTTACGGTTTTCGAAATAAAAAGATATGGTACTTTAATTTGCACTTCAAATAGAAGCTTATCAATTATTTTTATAATTTTACTTACATTATTACCCTTCCATCCAACTCAATGAAAACTCCTTATCATCTAGTATTCTTTTAACCATAGTTCAAAACAATTCCACTCTGTTAAAAGAAATCCTGCAATTTTATCTACTTCTCTGATTAGATGATTTAGCTCAGGTGGAGCAACTAAATTTTTTAGCAAATTTTTATCAGTGTTGAGATATATTTGACTTTCATTCACAATATTGTTGGATTCCTTCATGGAAGATTCGATGGATCTATTTCTTATATATGTCTTATAACAGGAATCAAGATCACCAATAGTTCTAAGGTTTCCTTTATTAAGTGTAAAGTTACCACTACACTACAAGCAAGCTTTTTAAACTTTGTGTGATGAAAAACTAGGTAATACATTAGCTCATTCAAAATCAAAAGCAATAAAATAGTTTACATCTTTAAAATTGTGTTTTTTCAGGGATATCTTCAACAATCGCTATAATTAGAACTTTTTAAACTCTGCTATTTTTAAACTCTGCTTTTCCTTTTTCAAAAACATTATACTATATTATCTCACCTTCTCTATTGTCTCACTTTCACCATCCATCATCTTACCTTCTCTACCATCTGACCTCCTCCACCATCTAAAGAGACTCTAACAAAACTTACATATGGACATATACTTTTTTCTCTAATAATAGGCAGAATCAAAGCAAAGTTATTTTTAATAAAAATTAAGTCTCTGATGTTAATTTCATTTTGGTTGGACTGTAAAACTGTAAAACTCATCTAGTTCTTTAAGATTATTTAACTTTTGAAATATTTCCTTCTACAGAATTTATTCTATTCAATCCAGTTCTAGTAGAAATTCTATTTGTGTAAAATTGTTTACTATTCTATTACACTTAAAACTGGGACCAACTTTAATAAGAAATGTTTTCAGGTTTTAAATTAAAAAAAAACGCTCACTCTCCATCTTTTTTTTTCCAGTTAGTGCACTAGCTATTTCTGAATATTCTCCTAGTTGCAAACAGTGACCAATTAAGTTGTCTACAGCGAACAGTGACCAATTAAGTTGTCTACATCAAACAGTGACCAATTAAGTCGTCTACAGCAGCAACTTGTGTACAATGATGAGTTGTATTGTTCCTTGTCCAGTAACAATTTTTGCATATATTTTGATATACTTTTGGTTCAGTAAATTTTAAAATGGTGACGCCCAAACATGGATCTAACGAACATATTCTGTTATCATGATCTAAAACACTTTAAAATTTAATTTTTTTGATATAAATATACACACATTTTTGCATAATATGTCCTAGGCTAAATGCCATGCAGTCACACATCACAATAATAATTAAAAGCTTCAAGTTAAGAAAATATTTTACTTTTTTCTTTAAACAGTATTAATAATTTTTATTATAAATAATATAGTCTACTTGTTATAGTCTGCTATAAATTAACAAATAATTATGCAAAATTTACAAACAACTATGCAAAATTTTGATTTGAAAATAACTCGAGCGTGCGATCCTCTTTATGATTGCAAAGACCGTTTTACTTAAATTACATAATCAACAGGCATAAATTTGTTTTATTCATATTATAAATCTAAATATTTACTATATATAACCAATAGTTGTATTTGCTTCCAGTTATCAGCAGGAATAAAGGAACATAACATTTACATAAATACTGTCAATGCTAAAAAATTCAAAATTTTTATAATATAAAAATATACTATTAGTATATATTTAAACGTTAAGTATATTAAATACTTTAGCAACTTGAAGTCCCCTCAATCTTCTAGAAGTGCATTTGAATGGTGAATTCTGATTAACACTTAAATCTGACATTTTTTTCAACACAGCACACTTTATAAACCAAATCTATTTCAATAATCTTTAATAAACCAAATCTATTTCAATAATATAAACCAAATCTATTTCAATAATATAAACCAAATCTATTTCAATAATATTTAAATAATCTTTCTTTTATCAAGTAAATATTATTACATTAAAATAAGAACAACATCCAGACAAAACAATAATGAAAACAACTCCCAGGAAAAAAGTTCTATAAACTTTTGAAACATATGGCCTATAGAAATTCTATTGAATTCTATTGAATTCTATTGAATTCTATTGAATTCTATTGAATTCTATTGAATTATTAACTTACAAATATTTCTATAGAAGTTTTTTTTTCTACTTTTTTTTTTATAGAAAAAAAGTTTTATAGCAATTTCTATAGAAATGAATAGACATTCTATAGAAGTTCTATAGAGTTTATGTACACCATATGTTTCAAAAGTTTATAGAAAGTTCTATAGAACTTTTTTTCCTGGGCATCCAGACAATTTTAGAAACAATAAAACTATAATACTAAAGTGGTGGAGCGCACTTTAGTGTTATAGTTTTATAACACTAAATAATCAAAAGTTAAACAAAATAATCAAGTGGATTGCAGTCTGATTTGGTTTTATCATTCTTCTTTGGTTCAAAATGGTTTATCATTCTTCTTTGGTTAAAAAATCAGTCAAATTTTCCTTTCACCATGTCTGAGTAATGTTACCCGTATGAGAAGGGGCTCCATCTTGTTGGAAGCAGAGTATGAGAAGGGGCTCCATCTTGTTGGAAGCAGAGTATGAGAAGGGGCTCCATCTTGTTGGAAGCAGAGTATGAGAAGGGGCTCCATCTTGTTGGAAGCAGAGTATGAGAAGGGGCTCCATCTTGTTGGAAGCAGAGTATGAGAAGGGGCTCCATCTTGTTGGAAGCAGAGTATGAGAAGGGGCTCCATCTTGTTGGAAGCAGAGTATGAGAAGGGGCTCCATCTTGTTGGAAGCAGAGTATGAGAAGGGGCTCCATCTTGTTGGAAGCAGAGTATGAGAAGGGGCTCCATCTTGTTGGAAGCAGAGTATGAGAAGGGGCTCCATCTTGTTGGAAGCAGAGTATGAGAAGGGGCTCCATCTTGTTGGAAGCAGAGTATGAGAAGGGGCTCCATCTTGTTGGAAGCAGAGTAATCTTCTCCATACAATATTTTGGTGTTCGGAAGCACGTTTTTCTACATGACTTTCACATGGTATTTTGCATTAATTTTTACACCTTTTTCGATGAAAATCAAGGGCAATATTCCTCTTGGACAGATTGCGCCCCAAACCATTACAGAGGCCGCGTTTTAGAATCTTGGAAAATGTCTTTTTTTTGTCTGGGATGTCCTTAAATGAAACAGACCAGTTTCTGTCATTTTGGGATTTGTGAGAAAAACGAATAGTTTTTATCAGAAAATATATTTTAATCGTTTTTTGCTCTTTCGATGCGTCTACGTTTTGATGGTTTGGAAACTCCATGAACTTTACGTTTTTTGAAAGGCTTTACCTTCAATTTTTTTTTAAATAATTCGCACTGATTCACGATTCATTCCGAGAACTTTTGCTACTTTCCTGGTAGATCCAGCAGAATTTCGTCGAATTCGTTCTCTGATCACTTTGATGGCTGCTTGGAGTACTTACAGAGCTTTTGCGTCCCGATCTTGGGTGGTCTGTGGTAGTAGCCATTTCCTGGAAGCGTTCAATGGTACGATAAACCGTATTTCTGGTGACTCCATCACTTTTCAGGGCTCTAAAAACGTCCCCACGAGACTTTTCTATTTTATTGTTTTTATAATTATTTCTCTATACACTTTCATAGCTAGACATATTATTTTTATTAAATTAAATTACAAAATTGATTTGCATTTTACAATTAGATAACATACCGATACTTTTAAATATTTTTTTGTTGAACAATAAATTGATAAAATAACGGGAAATTGTTAACACAGGGTTGTACCAGAATATATTTTTCACGGTGTAGATTTGAAAGTTATTTTTTTATCAAGTAAACTTAATTTTAACTTTTTAAAAATCATGTCGCAATAACGAAAACAATGCATTATCATCAAAAAAAAATCCCACTCCATTAAACATAGTGAACTTTCTTGTTCACAGTAGTAACAATTCAGAAGAAAAAAAAAATCACAAAATAATACTCAGTTAAAAGTCACAAAAAAACAGCAACAAGAGTATAGTCATATTTTTGGGAGGGATTGTCATTCTGGTTTTTTACGGATCCAACGTTTAAAAATTTTTTTTTTCTTAAATTTAATTTAGTTTATTAACTAAAATGAGTTTTTATTCTATTAAATAATTTTTATAGACATTGCAAAATCAGTTTACTAATCCAGCAAACAAACCGTATTGGCGATTTGTTAAGGAAGTAGAAAAACCAAGAGTAATTAATGCTGCATTAAGTGCAGTGAGTGAAAATGACCTTTATGCCCAAGTTACAGTTCGCTTGCATACTGAGCAGGTTGTTTTTTAATTCACTCGTTCTTGTTGCTACATAAGAATACTTACACACACACACACGCACGCATACACGCACACGCACAAAACAATTTTTAGTATAGTTTATCGAGAATTATTTGAAAATTTTAGATTTTGACTATACGAGATCGCTTTAATCGCATTGTTACAGGTGATCCTAAAACACCTCGCTCAGTAATCGATTATGTTGTGTTTGAAAGACATTTACCAGATCCTTATGGAAAGTGGCGAATATGTGGCAAACTAAATCCACGCTAACATTTAAATGTAAAAACTCATTTTGAAATACACGTTTATATTAATTCAGACCTTATTTTTAAAATAAACAGTATATATTTTTTGGTACTTCTTCGTTCTTCTTGCTACTTTCATTTATATATTTTTTTCACACTAACATTCCATTAGGTATACACAAGGGATTGCTATTTGATTGTTGTTTTGTTTTGTTGCGTAAATAACAATTTATAATAAGCGATTAATTCAAAAATATTTTTTTACTTTCAAAAGCGGAGGGGTTAATTTTGCTGAAGAAATTTATGGGAGTTCCGAATCTGCTAAAAAATCTTTTTAAAAAAATGATGCGTTGTTTTGGTGATTCGTGTTATTTTGAACGGATTTAGTACCTAAATATGATCAATTAAAAGGGAAAAGTTATAATTCTAAAAAAATAATAATATTTTTGAAAAAGTCTATAGTTACTGTAAAATGGGATAAGTAGAAACACTTTTGAAAAGTAGATAAATTCTTCAATCCAACATAGGTAAAAAAATTCGAATTATAACCCAAAATTCAGGTCTGTTGTGCCGCTGTCAGTTCATAAACCTTTATGGAAAAAAATTTACTTGATGAAGGCGTTTTTAAAGCAATTTCAATCAAGTAAAATAATTTAAGTTAGTTGTTAAAAGCTCCATAAAAGTGAACTTGTGAAGACGTGAATTAATCTTGTAAACTATTTTATAAAATATTTATTTAGAATACTTTTTTTACTTTCCATAACTACCGTTATGGAAAGTAAAGAAATATATTGTCAACTTTTATTAATTTATTACAAAGCTTATTTTCTCGTGTATATTAGCCAATCCCATTTTGACCCTCATGAACAAATTTTAATGCGCGTAGTGTCATAAAATATTCCCAAGTATTGTTTTCTTAATAAACCTTTTTTATTTTGGATGACTATTTATACTCGCGCCATTCTTAAAGTTTAACATTTTTACATCTTATACTGCTGAGTTAGGTGAGCATGATGTTGTCATACTCACCTAATGTCAAATAGCCTGCTGCCGGGGGCTTCAGTACATACATCGACTGACAAATAGCCTGACTCGCCGTGGAGTGCTGCTACATTGACTGAGGGCTTGGTATGGGTCAGCAACATTTTCATTTATTATTCTTCGTTTTCCCTCATCGTTTTCTAAAAATGCTCACTTAATTTAGGCTTGCAAAAAAGGTGCGCAATTGCGCATATAAATATGCTATAGTAGATATATATATATATATATATATATATATATATATATATATATATATATATATATATATATACATATATATTTATATATATATTTATATAAATATATATATATATAAATATATAAATATATATATATATATATATATATATATATATATATATATATATATACATAATTAAAAAAAAAATAAAAACGTTATTTATCTAGGTATTTTATGTTCACGATGTTATTTATTTATATGAAAAGTTGTAATATTGTAAAAATTGTAATATTGTTAATTGTAATATTGTAAAAATTGTAATATCAGCGAAATAAAAGTTAATAATAAAACTTTTAAAATTATTTACATTAAGACTTTTGAGAAGTGCAGAGATCATTGTGAACTTGCGAAAAAAAAATTAGAAAATTAACAAATATGGAGCTTTTCACACGCATTGAATTTAAGTTGCATTTCTCTGAAATCAGGTTTTTATTCTGAGAAATAAAATACTCAAAGTAATCAATAGAATGACTACAGTTCATTCTCCCTCTCTCACTGAGTACATTTCTCTCTCCCGGGCATCGCGGTTTTTTACCTGCGACTTTTCTGACAATTTTTAAAGTAAAACTTAATTTCATAAGTTTTGATATTTTAGTCTTATTTTATAATTAAATATATATAATATAAGAATAATTTATGTAATAATGTAACAAGTTGTTTATAACAGAACCGGCGACACGGGTTTGGAAGTGGGGGGAATAATCGACAAATTAAAAAAAAAGTCGTCTATATCAAGAATTTTCTTACATTTAAAAAAAAAGCTTTTTTTTTTTGAGGGGGGAGGGGGGAAGGGGGAGGGGGTACACGTGCTCCCTGGCCCAATAGCCCTCTCGGTGTCGTCGGCCCTTGTAAAAAATAGGTTGTAAAATGATTTAAAATTAGATGCTAAATACATAGAAAATAACTGTAAACCAATTTTTTTTCTAATGACAGACTTTTCTTAAAATCAATAGAAATAATAAAAATGAAATTAATAGAAATAGCACTTTGATTTTATCTTGTCAAAATTAAATGTATTAAGTTTTAAGCAGTGTTATTTAAATAATATTTTATTTACATTGCAATATTTTTAATCTAAACTTTTAAGATCAACAAAACTATTAGCAGATGTGTATTGAGTCTGTTGCAGAGGTAAAATTCAAATCATGGTAAAAAAGTAGAGGTGTTTGGTGGTGGCGTTACCATCTTTTGACCAAGATCACAATACAAAAATGGTAAAAAGTTCTGTATTTAAAAACAAAGGGAGGTCCGAAAAGATGTAAAAGCGGGTATACCCGCTTTTATTGTGATCTTGGTTCTATAGAATCAAAGCTGAAATTCTTCTGAAAGCAGTTTTTGTTGATAAAGACCAGCCACTAGGTCTTGAGTTTTAAATTTCGTAATAAAAAATTCAATTTTGTTGTGCTTACAATAAAATTTATTCAAGATAATGTAGAGCGTGTGATGAGCTTGGAGAAGCTTTAGAAGCTACTTCAAATAAAGAGTTCTTATAAAAAACCATTTAAAAAGAAGAAGAATGAATTCATAGAGCTACGAAGACTGTATTCTCGCTTTCTCGTTATTAGATAGTTCTAATAATTGGAACTTTGATCCGTTACCTAACTGCAAACTCTGAACCTTAAAAGAACATTTAAAGATTATTTTTTTACATATTTTCTTGAGATATTTGTTTTAAGCTGAAAACTTATATGCATATAAATATTTATTGTAAATTTGCAGCATTTAAACCAGGGGAGTAAAGTCGTTAAAAAAAAAGTAACGACTCCTACTCCGACTCCAATTGTTGAAATTTCTTGAGCACAAATCCGACTCCGACTCTAATTCCAACTCTGGCTCTAACTCCAAAGCAAAGTTTTTGAAAAATTCTTTGAACTCTTAAAAAAATATTACGCAATAAGTTAAAAATTTCTTTTTTGACAAGTTTAAGAAACGTTCTTTAAGGTTTAGTATGAACATAAGGTTAATTAAATGTTTTGTACTTGCACGTGTAATACCGGAAAATTTTACTATTGGAGTCGGAGTCGCGATTTTGTTTAGTGACTCCGACTCCCACTCCGCTAAAAATGTCGCAACTCCGCAACTCCGACTACACAGCCCTGCTTTAAACGCTGAATTCTGAAGCAAATTTCTTCAGAAACAAGAGATCTGTGGCAGTAACGGATCCAGCATTTTTTTTGTTTGAGATAGCTAACAACGAGCAAAATCCAAACATTTTTATGTTTTTACTTATGTCAAATAATTATGCTTCTTAAAAAGGGGGTGAAATTTTAGGGCTTTTTTTTGTTCCCAGCCTCCAATCATTGCAATATTTTGCAAAGCATCATTATTTGACACATTTTATACATAAAAATGTTTGGATTTTGCTTGACGTCTGTTAGCTGTCTCAAACACCAAAAAATGCAAGATCCTTCACTGATCTGTGGTTCGATGCCTTCTCAAGGTTTTTTTTTCGACATAAAGTGTAAACTTCCAAGTTAAATGCTCTTCTGCGGTGCTCTGTGATGAGACCATTTGGTCTTCTTGAAGCACCTAAAATAATCACAGAAAAAAATCTGTATATATATTTTTGAATCACATTTAAACGTTTTAATCCAGTTTTGTTTACAATAAAATATCGTAAGTCCTTTACTGAATCTTTTAAGAAAATCATTTTGGATTTGTTTGATCCAAAGCTCTATTAGCAGTATTTTAAAAAAAATATCATTGATACCAAAGTAAGGTAAAAATCATAAAGTTTGTCGTAAGACTGGAAAAATCTCAAAGATCAACAAAAATTGCTTTACAATAGCCAAAGTGTTAATTTTTCTATCGTAATCAGTGAAAGATAAGTACAACATATTTCTTAAATTAATAAGCACAGTGTTTTTTTTGGTACAGAAACACATTAGGAAACAAATTAACTAGATTTGACATTAGAATCTATTTGCGTCAATGGTTGGAAATTGATCGAAATTTAGTCAAAAATCATAAAAAGCGTAACTTCGAACAATTGGCGCGAATACTTCTGTCAAGAAAATAATTTTTTTTTATATAAGTATGTCACTCATTAGCCACTCCACCTCGTCACTTTGGTATCAAGTCTAGTATCCAGTATGTTTAAAAGCATATGTTAGGTTAAAAGTTTAAAAGGATATGTTAGTTTAAGCTTCTTTTCTTGCTTTGAATCATAGTATGACATTTGATTAATAAGGCAACTAAAACAATTTAAAAAAAGTATAAAAAAATGTTTTCTAAATTACTAAAGCTTAAGGTTTTATTAGTTGTATATCACAATTTCATTCATGCTTGTAATACTTCATTCATTTAACATGAAGTTTCAGAAAAAGTTTTATTTGCTGTTTCGTTGTAGTCATTTATAGGTCAAAATCTGAAAAGAAGATAATTGATAGGGTACAATAGCGAAAAATATTTTTGTTTTATAAGCTAGTGAAACTATTGCCATTTTGTTGATAGAAGGGTTCCACAACAGATTAGTATAATGTCTACGATCGAACCTTGAAATTTTTTGACATTTTAAAATTTTTAGAATCACACTTGTGCAAAAACGTCATTTCTATAACAATTACTTTTAAAACCACAATTATAAAAAAAATTAATTGTTGTCCTTCCATTTATACTCTATGTATATTATCACAAGAAACTAATGCAATTCTTTACTCTAGATTAAAATTTATATCAATTATTGGTGTCAGAAGTTGAAATATTTGGAAAAGTTAGATTTTAACAAATACATCTTTGCATAATTAAGAAATAAACAAACCTACAGTATTTAAATTGATAGACAAGC